GTCTGAAAACAACCCTTACCCCCCTCCCCCTCCCCCTCCCCCCACATCCGTAATTTGAAATGGATTGAATACCCTACAACAACCACAAACCATACACTTCCTCCGTTCCATAATTGTTGCAACATTATGATTTTTACACTATTCACTGATTTTACTTTGATCATGATTTTCTACTAATATACATAATCAAATTATTACGTATAAAATCTTATTGAACTCTTATCAATGTGAATTTCCAAAATATCAACTTTTTATAATGTTTACTAATATATAATTAAATATAATTAGAGTCAAAGTTGTGCATTGGCAAATGTGAAAGTCAAACTGTTGCAAGAATTATGGAACGGAGGATAGTACTACGTTTTTATTTGGGAAGTGGTTTAAAATGCCACTGATTTTAATTTATAGTGGACATGGGTAATTAAGCAAAGTGGTTTACCCCGCGCAGGTGGGGAGCCTTTGCGGCACCTACATTTCTGAGTTTTAATAAGGAATACTTCTTTCAGACTATTTAAAAAGATAAACATCATACTATATATTGTAAATTTTGATTTTGTTTTTTAATTTCCTTTAGTTAATACATGAGTGATGAGTATCCACCTGACCTCATCCTTAATTTTAAAAACACTGTTAAATGATAGCACAATTATTATGGTCTTTTTACTCTTGCAAACTACTCCCTTCGTCCCATTGGAATGTTCCCGGTTTGACCTACACACGTATTAAGGAAATAAACTTACCAGGGGGTAAATTTTACTGTTTTGACACTGTTTGGACACAGTTTGGCACTGTTTTGCACTGTTTTGATGTAGGATAATTTTCCATTTAGGGAAATGAAAACTTCTTTTTGGGACATCCAAAAAAGGAAAGCGAGAACATTCCAACGCGACGGAGGGAGTATATTTTAGACATATTGAACGTATTAAATCTTATTCATTCAGCCTAAAAGTGCTAAAAATGTATGCTGCGGGTTTTTGGACCAGGTGTACGTAGTATACTATCCAAGATAAAATCATCCACCGTACCAAGACGAGACCAGGAGTCCAAGACCAATCAATACCTTCAATTCCGTCACATATCATACACAAATAGTGAAACTTTGTTGCTACTCGAGCAAGACTGGCTAGGGGAGTTTTGGCCTTTGAAATGTGGTGAAGTGGCGGGAGACACGTGGCTTTTTGGCCTTGTGTACGTTGTTTACTTAGGTGGTTCAGTGGTTATATATGCACCTGGCTAGGGGAGGGAGGATCTATGCACGGGTTATGGTAGGCTGAAGCACAGGACAACTTAGAAAATTTTCAATTTTTTAGTGTAATTTTTTTCATTTTTTAAGTTTAGTCCACCCCTCTAATATTTAAACTTAGTATAATTTCTATTTAGCCTATGGCATATCAAATTCCTGGATCCGCCCCCGCCTTTAATCAAAGAATGTAGGGGTGGGTATAGTACGTGGTTGAGTAGTTGAGTTTAATGGAACTCAATCATACCAAACCGAATTAAACCAAATCGAAACTAGATTATACTTCATATGTGATTTGGTTAGAGTTTGATAGTAATTCTTCCAACCCGTATTAAACCGAGTCGTGACGAAACTGAGAAAAACGAATAAAATCGAACCGAGTTGAACTAAAAAAATTCAATGAAGCATTCATATATTACTAAAAAAATAACAAATCCAAATCTAACCGAACTAATCCAGATCAAAAGATAGCATAAATGGTGTTTGGTAATCGTAGTAATACTTTCAAAACTCGTATTGCCTTTTTCCGGCCCATTGCACATGTCCCATGTAATATTTAAATTATAAAAGTTGTATGGTCATGCTTAGGCGTGGGCTCAGGCCGGTTTGGGCCTGTACCGGGCCTAGGCCCGCCCGGGTCGGCGGTTCTGGAATGGGGGGTCTGAAACCGGCCCGGGTAATCCCCGGTTCCGGTTCGGGGCCGGGCCTCGGGCCTTTGTAACTTTTTTTTCCCTTTCCCTAGTTAACCCTCTCACCCCCAAATTACCCCAAACCACCCCAAATGGCCCAAAATACCCAGCCCAACCCAAAAAGTATAAAAAAAAAAAATTGAAAAAAAAATTAAAAGGCCCGGAACCGGGTCCGAGCCAGCCGGGCCGGTTCATGATTTGGGGGGGCCGAGCCCAGACCGGAACCCACACGGGTCAGGCCTAACCAGACCAGTCACTGACTGGGCCACCGGGCCGGAACAGTGCCGGTTCGGGCCGGTTCCGGGTCAGGCCAACCGGCCCGAGTCCACCCCTAGTCATGCTTGTGCACTGAAAGAGAGGTGAACATAATCACAAATAATTACTCCAATAAGAAAGTAGTAAATTTTAATTAAAATAAAAATAGTAACATTAACAAAGTTTAAAGAGATGGAGAAGAATATAACCAAGCATTCCACCCCAACTGGTTGTGAGGTTACCGTGCCTAGTGTGGGGTCTTGAGTTCGAAACCTGCTAGGCACATAAAGGTTCAAAACTCAATGGAGTGAGATTCAGCCTCCATTACTTTAGGCCCCAGCCCCCCTCCCCCAGACCCCCTGGAGTAAAAAAAAATGGAGAAGAATATAAGTAGTACTACGTAATATATATACTCCATATTTGAATAAGATGTGTATAGTTGACATGGACAATTGTACATAATAAAAATTCATTATACTCCGTACTACGTATGATGCAATTATTGTCCATTTGTCCATGTGAAAGGCTATTTGAAAACTCATGAATCATTCATGATTTGTGTTTCATCCGTATACTTTGGATGAAAGTTAATGTAAAAACAAAATTGGTTTTTTTTGGATGAAAATTAATGTGTGGGAGATAAATTATTGTACGTACTACGTAGTATGTATTATTGTATAGAAGTTCTATACAAGGTTTTTTGAAGGACCCTACAAGTTTTAAATATTTATTTATTTAATCTTTACATCAACAGAAGTCATTTCCATCTATTTCCACCATCTAAGTTCAATAGCGCATCAACAATACCTACCTTTATCATTCTAAATTTCATTTCCCACTTTCATTGATTCATTTCATATTATTTGTCTTGTTTTTATTGACGTAAATAACTTCACTTAAATCTCACTTTTTAATTAAATAAAACAACACGTCGATCTCTAATAGATCGATCGATTGCGGCTGAGAGGAGATAGCTATCCTTGCTTCTGGCGTCCTGTCCCTAGGTTTCACGTGAGAGTTTTATTTGTCCGCTATCATCTTTTGGTGAGGAGCGGTGCCGTCTTTCGGCAATTCGTTCGTGGAAAGGGAGATTCGGTTGGAGGCAACTCACAAAGCGATGAAGGAAGAAGATGAAGGGAAGGTGATCTGACCCCCTCCTGAACCGCCGCCGGTGATTCTTGGAAGGCTGGGTGAAGAAATTTATTTTATTGCGTTTAATTATTTTAATGTTCTGAATTTATCTGTGTTTGTTTGTTATTCTATCTCTTTCGATTGTAAGACTGTGGTTTTGGATTTGGATGTGAATGATAACCGTCACTGACTCAGTTGTGTCTATCAATGGATCAGCGATTTACTTTACCAATGAGATTAACTCCGAATCTGATTCGTGATATGGCGATTTTCTTAAGTATATTGTCGTTTTACCTACTCTCTGAATAGTTTGATATTAATGTAAGGCGTTTCATTCAAAAAAATTAAATAAAACAACACTGAATAAGAACAAGATCTTCACGTTCAAAAACAACACTTACAAATTTCCCTTACATCCGAATTTTAAATGGGTCGAATACCTTCATAAAAACCATAACCCTTACTTCGTAATTCGTATTTACTTGGGAAGTGGTTTAAAATGCCATTCGATTTTAGATTCATAGTGTAGTAGTTACTAAAAGGTTAACAATATACTAGTACAATTGTAAATTTTGATTTTGTTTTTAATTTCGTCTAGTTTTTCATGGATATCCGCCCGTCGATATCTCTGATTTGAAAAACACTATATAATGATAGCACTATTTTATGGTACTTTTACACTTTTACTCTTCCAAAACATTTTGAGACATATTGAACATTTTTACTCCTATTCATTTTTCTATACAGTACGGAGTATATTTTTAACCCCTCCCCACCTCCTCGCCTTTTTTCAGCTTTTAAACGGATTTACACATTTTTTAAGGGAAAATAGAAACTAATAATCCAACCTTTTAGCGATCTTCTTTTAATAGTCCCACTTTTTCGTTACATGAATAATCCAACCTTTGCACCTCATCTTCATTCACTGGTCCCTGACCGGTTGATGACATGTTATTCCAAGTTATTTTTCTTATCTTTACAAAATATTATCTTTGTGAAAGGTGGAATTTATGATATAATAGTTTGCAGAGATGAGAAAATAACTCGGAATAGCATGTCATCAACCGGTCGGGGACCAATGAATAAAGATGAGGTGCAAAGGTTGGATTATTCATGAATAACGAAAAAGTCGGATTATTAAAAGAAGACCGCTAAAAGGTTGGATTATTAGTTTTCATTTTCCCTTTTTTTAAATGTTCCCAAATCCCAATGGTTGACATTCAAAAAACAAAACTACGATCGAACTGGGAACCAAAAAACTGCAAGCCTGCATATCAAGTTCGACCGATCCCCATGAACCGCTCCCAAGTCCCAAAGCTGGTCCCATACTCCCATAACCGAGTAACCGACCGGTCCCGGTTCCAACCGGTCCCGGGATCTTATCCATCCCTGAGAGACCTCAAGCCCGTTACAATAAAATGCAAAGTCTTGAGTTGCACACTTGCACCATTCTACTCATTGGGTCGCTAATGACAAACTCATAATAGTAACAAACCGTAATGCAGGAACATGTGTTGTTGAATTGAAATTTCAAAAAACATTATCTTAAACCGTATTGTTGAATTGAAATTTCAAAAAACATTATCCCCACTCACACTTCACAATGTATTGTTGAATTGAAATTTCAAAAAACATTATCTTAAACCGTAATGCTTTTAAAAGCTTTGTCATATCAACACCCAAAAGGGGAATTAAATAAAACTATAAAAGATGAAAAGTGATAGTGAATACGAATAAACACGGATAAAACTATGCTTTGTGCGTGTACATAGTTAGCGAAAAGTGACAGATGTTTAACGCTATAAAGGAGTATTTACATACAACTTATGCAGTCAAATTTTTGCACACTAATTAAATTTTACTACATATGTAGTATAAATATATGCTATATATACACATCGGGGGTGGGGTTGATGAGGGGCAGGCTAGCCCCAGCACACATCCCGTTGGATCCGCGGATCCGCCTCTGGTTGTGGAGCCACCAGTGTGCTTGTGAAGCGGAGAATCCAGGCCGTATCGGTTTTTACTTCAGACCTTTGTGTATCTTACTATAAAGGTTTTACCCTTGCTTGTTCCTGTTTAGGCGGTGACAATGGAGGGTCCAGTGGATGTCCTACTAGTAAGAGCCGGTCTCATTGTGACTATTGCAGACTCGTTTGCTCCTGCTCTCAGGGCAGCCCTTCCCGCCTCCAGGAACCTCTCAACAGCATCCTCTACGTACCGGTTGGCTTCACTGACGTTCATGCCCTTCCCGATCTCGGGGTATGTGCCCAGGATGTGGTCCCCACACAGCTGTGATGCCAGCTGGATCAGCTCCATTTGGAATTCAGAGAGCTTGGCATCTTCTTTTGGTCCATTTGGTCTTAATGATATTGTCACATCCGCAAGTGTTTCTGTGATTTTGGTAATAATAAGTTACTTTCATGGACCTTGCTCTTATTTGGCTGGAGGACTTCGGAGGGAAGGCAAGGGAAGTGGAGGACAGGAGGAGTGTTGTGTGTCCGGCTGAGGGGGGAATTAAGTTATGTTTGGAAGTTTGAAGTTAAACTTAGAAAATGGTAGGGAAAGGGGAAAATTCTAACAAAACAACTGATTAAAGCTTCTGCAAATTTGACATATACTCCCCCCAGCCGGAGTATTTAAATTTCTCAACCTTTTTAAAATACGGAGTATATAAATGAATAATAAAGGAGTAAGAGTTTGAACTTGTTTAAAAAAAAACACCCCAGACAATCCCTTCCTTAAAAAATTCCCTTTCTATTTCCTACCATTATCCGAGTTCCAAGAGGCAATGAGGGGGGCTATGGACTCCATAATCATAATTTAGTACGGAGTATATCTCAGGGTTCAGTCAGGTCACCTGCCTCTTTCTGTGTCTCCTAGATCACAAGTAAACATGTGAGAAGCACAGAAGGAAAGAGCTGATCTGATCTCCTACTTCACTCCCCCAAATTTGCGCTATTCTTGAAGATCTTTTTGCCTTCTTAATTTCATTTTCACCATTCATTGCGTAAAACTATTTTAAATCATTCTTGTTATATTACTATATATTTAATCACAAATAAATAATTTTTTTAAAAAAATTCAAAAACAGAAATCCCCTACTCAAATTGAACCAAACATAGCTCCATTTTAACTCTTCCGCTTTCATCCCCTATCTTCTTCTACATTCCTTCTTCCCCCTCTTGAACCAAACAAGAAGTGCTTGCTAAAAAAATGTAAGGGTTGAGTTATTAAAAGACCTGGACAATCATCACGTGGCATGTCACGCAGGCGGAAGTAGGTATCAAAACTACCAGCCCATGCATCTCTTCTGGTCAAGAAGCTTGAATCCAGATTAAAGAGCCTCTTGACTGTTGCTGGTATGGAAGAGTGTTCAAATTGTGAAGATGGCTGTGGACCATTTGGTTTATGAATCACTGCAGGAAATAAATGGTGTATATCAATTATAAATGTAAGCCACAAACAATATAAGAAGACTATGATCATCTTCTGCCCCTTTCTGGACATGAATACTGGAGAATATGAACTTCCCCCACTCCATAGCTAGTAACTATCCATCACTCAATCTAACGCGAGGAAGTAGCACTTCTATAGCACCCCTTCTATGACTGAACTATTCAAAATAAAACCTCACTGTTCTAACACCTTGAGGGTATGTTTGGATCTCTGAAAATGTTGGGGAAAGAAAAAACATGTCAAGTACAAGTTTCATCTTATCTTATGTTTGACAATACCTTGGAAGTGCTAACAAAAAGAAAATATGCCTACTTCATTAAAAACACATGCTTAAACCCAGAGTGTTTATATAATAGAAATAAATAAATGAGTTGAATTTGGATACATATATAAAATAAAGAAATAATGAAAACTATATTCCTATGTACTTTTTATACAGTTACTGTACTTTCAAAGTGACCATGGTGATGTACAATTTGAGAGAGTGACTTCTGTCGTAGTTTTTCAGTGACCATGTATTTTCGTGAGGAGTGAGTATTTAGTCATATTTTCCTTTGCAAGTTTTATTTTCGAAATATTATATGAAACCCCCTAAAAAGTTATACGAAGTTCGTAGTATAAAATTCAGGTTCAGCTTGTGTTTTCTCCCAAAAAATCGCTTCTCATTATATTCTATACATTCCTTCCTACTTTCACTCCCTGGCATTTTTCTTGTTCCAAAGGACCATAAGGACTTCACACAGTTGATGCTAGAGACCCAGCACTCTAAATGAATGGATGACTCTAACAGGTCAAATAGCATATACAAAAAAAGCTCAACCTTGGAATTGTGATCGATCAAAACAAGATCAACTCAATTAAATTCAGCACCATAAAGGTGAGAACAAGACCAGCTGCAATAAAATTCTGCACAATAGCATTAAAATCATAACTGGTTTAGCTATTAAAAGCACTAAGCAACACTCACCAGTGCCCTTATCAATCCATGGAGAAACCAAGAGCGTTGGCACACGCACCCCCAACCTATCAAACTTGAAGTAGTAAGGATCTGGCCCTAGTATCCCATCCGGGTTAGGCACCCCGGAAACAGGGGCAGGGACATGATCATAGAACCCGCCATGCTCGTCATAAGTAATCAACAATGCCATCTCCTTCCACTGTGGACTGCCTCTCAGAGTTTCATAAACCTCCTTCACAAACCTCTGTCCAAGCGCCACATCATGAGATGGATGGTCATCATTAGCTGGAAACTGTTTAACATCAAAGTATCTCTGCTCTATCACGACGTAGTTTGGAAGCTTCCCCAGCTTAGCATGCAATTTGAACTTAAGTGGGTAGCTATGGAACTTGGAAATGTGTTTGAGCTTTCGGAGGGAGTTGAAGAAGAGGGTGGCAGGGATATTTTGGTAATAAATGCCAAAGCTGAGGCCATTCTCGTCCAACGAATCGAAGATCGTCTTCTGAGGGAATCCATGGATTAGGTCTTTCCGAACATTGCTGGAGGCTCCGTGAGAAGTCGCCGAGTGAACGTAGAACCTGTTCGGCTGAGTCGACGCCGGCACCGACGCGAACCACCGGTCGAAAACGGCGAACTCATTGGCTAAATCGGTGTAGATCGGAACGAGCTCCGGCTTGAATCCACTCATGACTGTGTTTTCCAAACCCTCCACGCCCATACTCAACGCTTGTTGCACGAACCCATTCATCGGCGCCGGGTCAGCCAGGGTGTCGTTCGACCCGAATATCTGCTCCCGGATAGCTTGGATCGAGTGGCCCGGGTCGGAGTCCACGAAGATGGCGTCGTCGGAAACGAAGACCTTAGCCGACGAGGGGTCGGAGGCGTTGACGTGGTTGAATTCGGTACCGGTCAACCCGTCGATATCCGGTCGGGAAGCCCGGAGCCAGCCGAGAACATGATCGAAAGATCGATTCTCCATAACCAGGATAACAATGGTTTTAATGGGTCCATCGATTTGGCGCTTCTTCTTCTGGAAAGATGAAGAGGCAGAAAGAGAAGGAGATAACAGAAGACAGAGAAAGAAGAAAACGGCGCGGTGGGTTTTTCGTGGAAGCATTTCATCAACTGTAATCAACCCAGAAAATTCCGCCTGGGATAATTCATTAACTAACTGTAAATAAGATTCCAATGGTTCTGGAACAGTCAAGGATCGAAAGCCTACGCAGTATCAGAATAGTCTAGTACATGGCGAACCGGACCGGTACCGTTCCGGTTACCGTTCCTATAAATGAAACCGGATCCCTAATCGAGAGAAAGCTTCTGTTCTTCGTTTTTACGGAGTACGAGTATTTTTTACAAGTAGCTTTTTTTAAAATTACAATTAGCATTTTTTATTTTTTTATTTAAAAAAAATTAAAGATAACAAATCGGAGCAGGACAACTGGATCCAACCCTATTTTGCTCACTAAAATAAAAGAAAAGGTTATAAATAAGAGTATTGATAGAGTATTAATCCTAGAGAGAAGTGAGAGCTAGAGAGAGAAAGTGAGTAATTATATTTCTCAATTTGGAACCCCCTATAATTAGCCCCATGGGGTCTATTTATAGGTAACAAAGATGGGTTTGGGCCCCTAGCCTTGGGCTTAGGAGGCCCATTACCATAATCATGCCTTCTTTGGGCAAATAAGGCCACTAATGGGCTGAGTACAACACTTAGTACATAAAATAGGAAAATACATTCTGTCCGAGCGAAGTTGGGACGATGCGGTCTATGGACGACGCGGTCCATGGACGACGCGGTCCATGGACGACGCGGTCCATGGACGATGTCATCCAAATAACTCAGGCGACATCTTCTTTCTTGGACGGTACGTGCCTCTGGCCGATGCGGGTGCCCCGCTGGTGTTTTTTGGGCCATTGAGTATGTGGGCTATGGGGTCCAGGCCCATATACTCTATCAGGAGTCCCCCACTCTCTGAGCTGAGGTGAAGCCGAAGCGAAAGGGAGTACTTGTTCCTTTCTGGCTGGCCGTTGCGTGAGTCTGAGGTGTTTGATGGCCGAAGAGTTCCTGTTTTGATTTTGGATGAAGCGGTTCCCTTTTTTGAGGTAGATGAAGCGCGCTTGGGAACTCATAGCCTTGATGCGGGCCGATGCACACTCTGTGGGAGTGCTTTTGAAGACGAGGCGATGCGCTTTTCTTCTTTGTAGATGGTGCGAAGAATCCTTGGTGGATAAGTTGGCATGCTTTCGTTGTCACTTTGTTGGGGTCGAAGAGCTCCCATCTATCCTTTTGGCCGTAGCGAGGACCTATTTTCATGAGATGGAGATGGTCGATTCTGTCTATGTGGACGATGCGATGCGCACCTTTGTTTTGTCATGCGGCCGGAGCGTTTTGATTTGTGAGTTTTTTGTTATGGTGAGACGACGCGGTCCTCTCAGTGTACGTAGCCGTTGCGCTAGATTTTTTTCTATCTTGGGGTTCTAATTCCTGGGCTCTGTAGCCGATGCGATCCCCAGTTCTTTGTTGTTGGCAAGCCGTGGCGCACCCTTCTGTATTAAGGCCGTTGCGTTTTCTTTTCTTGTGGCCGATGCAGTCCCCCAGTCCCCCACTCCTTTGGCCGAAGAGTTCCTGAGGCACAAGGGAGTAGTGATCCGATCCGGTGCCTATGCGTTAGTCGCGACTCCAACCCCTAGGCGAACCTGTCCAAGGTAACCCTGTGGGAGAACCCTTGGACGAAGGCCGCAATGCCAGGGTTATCATCGACGATGCGCGCACAGGCGGCCGTAGCTGTCTAAGGGTTATCTGGGTCTTTGTGAGGACGTAGAGTTAGGCCGATGCGTTCCTTTTCCGGCCTTATGGGCCGACGCTTGCTTTGAAGCTTGTAGTGGTTGGGCCGTAGCGGTATTCAGCCGATGCCTTGTTCTTTGTAAGGTTGAGTTGGGCCGTAGGGGCGCTTGTTTGAGTGATTCTGAATTGGTGTCCCTTGATTGGTAGGGTGAGAGGTGGCCGTTGGTGGGGCCAATGGGGTGGCGCCACGTGTAGTGACCGTTGGGAGTTTGTCTATAAATACCTCCCTATTCCGAAGCCTTCTCCTCATTTGCGATTTGCTGAGCTGAACTGCTGCTGAGATTTCTAGAGAGAAGTGCTTCCCAGAAATCGTCAAGTGTTCTTCAGACCTTCAAAAGTTCAAGGTTAGATTCTTGAATTTGTTCTTCCTCTTTTCCTTATATTTTGCTTCCTAGGGGGTTAGATCTAGTGTTTGTAGGAAAAACCACTTTGATCCTCGAACCGCCCTTAGGACGTAGCAATAGTTGTTATGCCGTTCCCTGACGGTCGTAGCGTCCCCTCTCCTCTTAACTTAACAGCTTCTTTAGACGAGTCGGACTGGCCTTTTGACGACGAGGACCCGTCTCCTGGAGTGAATCTTGAGATAGTTCGAGCGTTTGAAACAGAGATGGAGAATACTGTCGATTACCGCACTTCTCAGGACGAGGAACGTCTGAGTGACGATGCGGGTTCCCAACAATCGGGCGAGGACGAGGCGAGCTCGGAACCCAAGCTTCGGGGAGACGAAGCGGGTGATGCCTCTTCGGCCGCCATCCCCTGCCCTCCACCTATTTCGTCTGTGCCAGGTGGGGCGTCGTCTTCTAGGGTTACCAAGGAACGCGCGTCGCGTCGGAGGAAAGCCGCGGCTGGTGGGTTGTCCCAATTGGACTTAACAAATCTGTATGTCATAAGGCCCGAGGGCACCCGAGGGGACTATCATTTGGCTCAGCTGTATGTTGGGCCTTATGGGAAGGTGAGGGAGCCGAGGCCGACGGACCATGTTCTGAATCCTCCTCCTGGGTACTTCGGGGTTTATCCGATGGGGTTCTCTCAAGGATTACGATTTCCGTTGCCCCCTTTTGTGATTGAGTATCTGAATATGGTGGATCTTCCCCCAGCGCTGTTGACGCCGAATAGTTTCTCACTGATTGTCGGGTTCCTCATCCGATGCGACGAGCTGGGTTTTGAGCCCACGACGGCGCTTTTCACAAATTTGTTCCGGATCGGCCGAGGGAGCCATAAGAATTGCGCTGGTTATGCTACGCTTCAGCAACTCCCGGAGAAAAAATCTTTCAAAGACCTCCCTTCGTCTATCCATGGGTGGAAGGCGAAGTTTGTATTCGTGAAGTTGGCCGATGGGGTATTCTTTCCTTCGCAAGGGCATAACGGTAATTTTAGCCTGCATAATCCGCCACGAAGCGCTGAGCTCGATGCCCAAGTTGAGGCATTCCTAAAAGGTGGGCCGAGGAGTGTGAACACGTACATTACTGAGTTCAAGATTGCGGCTCTCGGGATGATGCGGTATTACATTCCTGGCGACCCGGATTGTGGATTGTGGCCTAGGATTTCTGGCTCTTTTGAACAGGCCGATGGGCCACTTCTTGGGATTCCGGCCGAGGCCGAAGGTTGACACTTGCCTTTGAATCTTTTCGTACTTGGTATTTTTTTTTTGTGACTAATCCTTTCTTGTGGCGTCGTCTTTGCAGGTTACGAGATGAGTCGCAAGATGTTCATGGCTCAGGCCAAGAAGCAGAGAGAAGTGAGTAATTATATTTCTCAATTTGGAACCCCCTATAATTAGCCCCATGGGGTCTATTTATAGGTAACAAAGATGGGTTTGGGCCCCTAGCCTTGGGCTTAGGAGGCCCATTACCATAATCATGCCTTCTTTGGGCAAATAAGGCCACTAATGGGCTGAGTACAACACTTAGTACGTAAAATAGGAAAATACATTCTGTCCGAGCGAAGTTGGGACGATGCGGTGTATGGACGACGCGGTCCATGGACGACGCGGTCCATGGACGACGCGGTCCATGGACGATGTCATCCAAATAACTCAGGCGACATCTTCTTTCTTGGACGGTACGTGCCTCTGGCCGATGCGGGTGCCCCGCTGGTGTTTTTTGGGCCATTGAGTATGTGGGCTATGGGGTCCAGGCCCATATACTCTATCAAGTATAAACAATGTGAAATGTAAAAAAATTGGTCAAAATACATTTAAAACCTACATAAATATAGCTTAAATAAATATGAGAACATAACACTTTTGTAGTTAATATGAGACCACATAAATATAGTTTTTTTTGCCAGGAAAAAAAAATATAGTTAACCTACATAACCGTCTATTTTTATGCTCTTAAATAAGTTTGTTAGGGCTAAATGGTTATTTGTTTGATTTATAAAAATATATTAAATAAATTTAACTGCGCCTTTTAAAATTGTATATAGACCATCCTTTAAAATTTCAGATGATAATAAATTATTCCCATTTAGGGGAATATATATATATATATATATATATATATATATATATATATATATATATATATATACACAAATGTTCCTGTCAGGTATACCTCACAGGAACCGCCGTCCGGCCTCCTCCTTTTGGGGGCCTTCCCGATGGTATTTTTTGCTAAAATTTTTTGTGTATGTTCCTTATCAAGTCTAGTTCATCCATACCAAATTTCAGCAAAAAATTCAATCGGGAAGGTCGTCGAATGATTTTTCCAAGTTAACTGGTCCGGAATATGTATTTTCCGGACCAGTTAACTTGCAAAAATCATTTGACGACCTTCCCGATTGAATTTTTTGCTGAAATTTGGTATGGATGAACTAGACTTGATGAGGAACATACACAAAACATTTGAGCAAAAAATACCACCGGGAAGACCCCCAAAAGGAGGAGGCCGGACGGCGGCTCCGGTCAGGTATACCTGACCGGAAGATTACTCTATATATATATATATATATATATATATATATATATATATATATATAGTTTTGAAATTTCACACTATTTCCACTCTCATTTCAAAATATTAATTGTATATCTCATTGAACAAGATCGCAATTTGCAACCAAATAACACTAAAATTCAAATTTCGATAAGACCAAATAGAAACTTACGATTTGCTTAACAAACGTATAAATGACCAAACACAAACTTAAAAAACTTTGTTTTTGCACATCAATCCCGTATGAAAAGATAAAATGTCTATTCATTAACAATTTTATTAGCCTTCAACATATTCCTAATCGATGACATTTTTGTCTTTTCATACAGGGTTGGGATGCAAAAGAAAAATTAAAACGGGGTGCAAAGTTCAATTTAGACAATAAAATGGAATATCTTTGCCAACATTTTTAGAATCAGGACATTCATTTCAACTCCTCTCATGCGGTCATTTGAATCAAATTTTACACTCATCATACGGTCATACCTAGGGGTGGATTCGGGTTGGTCTGGTTCCGAGCCGAGACCGCCCAGTCCTTCCCCTTTTTTCAAGGCCGGGCCCGACCCATATCAATCCGATTCTCTCAGTTTCGGATACCCAGGCGGTCCGGGCAACCTGTTGTAGTTTTTCACCCAGTTTCAAGCTAAAAAGGAAAAAAGGGAAAACATTGGCCGGTTAGGAATCGAGACCGCCCGGTTCGGTCCCAATTATTGGAACCTGGGTCCAAGTACCATTGTTACCCCGGTCTAGACCCGGGACAGGAAAACGTATTCGGTCCAGTTCTGTCCAGTACCGGTCCGGGCCCGTCGACCCGGTCCATCCCTAATCATACCCGTTTATGGAATCACCCATTTAATATAGTTGTTTAGCCCAATAGTTCATCGGTGTCTAGTATTAGCTCATTGGGTTGGACTAGGGCTGGACTCGGGCCGGGCGGCCCGCCCCGGGACCGAACCGGCCCGGTCACTGTTTGGCCCGGCCCGGCCCGTGGCCCGGTGGGTCCACCGGTTCGGTTTGGCCCGGCCCGGGTGCTGGGCGGTCCGGGCTCGGACCCAGGTTTTGGTGAACCGGCCCGGCCGGTTCGGGCCCGGTCCGGGCCGGATTTTAATTTTTTTTTTTTTGAAATTTTTTTAAGTTTTAGGTTGGATTAGGTATTTTGGGCCATTTGAGGTGGTTTGGGGTTGAGGGGGGAGGGGTAGGGGATTAAATAGGAGAACAAAAACAAAAAAAAAAATTAATTGGGCCGGTTCGGCCCGGCCCGGTTTGGCCCGGAACCGGCCACCGGCGGTTCGGGCTCGGGCCTCCCCTTTCCTGGCCCGAGGCCCGGCCGGGCCCAGGCCCGAACCGGGCCCGAGTCCAGCCCTAGGTTGGACCAAGCAGACAACTAAGTCTGCAGGGCTGGGCACGGGCCGGGTCGGGACGGGTAATGCAAAATAAAATGGAACCGCCGGTTCCATTGTACGGGTCAGTCCGGTCCGGGTATTGTAATTTTGAAAATAGGAACCGGACCTTACCCGGCCCGTTTGAAACGAGTCGGTCCGGTTCGGATTTTTCGGTTCCAGTTTGTATTTCTTAAAAGTAGTAACAACTCAAAAAGTTGTTAAGGTCTTAGCCATCCTGAATCTTCTAAATGCTACCCATTATGTAATCTGTAATTCTTAGTATCTATATTCTTAAGTATTTAAAAGTTAAAACTGGTCAAATGATTGTGTTGATTTACTCTCACCTAATGAATATATTTCCTTACCAATAACAAAGTCATATTTTACAGTTAATAAAATAGAACCTACGTGTAACTAGAATAGTAGTAAGTTAATGTTAGTTTGTGATTCCTTATAGAGAGAGTTATAGCAGAGAAAATACAAATGATGCATTCCATGAAGAAAATACCAAACGCTTAAAAAAAATAGAAATTGCATATACAACGGGCAACTTAGTAAAGGGCTAAGTTGCATTACCTGATTACCGTAATGGAATATGTTGTCACTTCCCAAATGCTTAAAAAATAGAATTACATATATAACGGGCCGGGCCGAGTACCCGGCAAATTTATATTTTGGAACCGGCCCGGGCCGTAAAAAATTAATACCCGCCCCTACCCGAACCGTTTTGTAGTATAAAAAAATGGAACCGGCCCGTTTTGGACCCGAACCGTCATTACCCAGACCGGACCGCAGTTCCATACCCGTTTGCCCACCCCTAAGTCTGCCTAAACACTACAGTACTTCTAAATAGGTTATGTCGGTCAATATTGCTTACATGAATTTCCAAATAATCTTCAATGATTATCAATATATATTCACGCAAAAGGAATTTGTGTCCTATAATCCTGTAATAATAAATAAAATAAAAAAATGGACCAGCAATGAAAAATTGCACACAAACTAGGCGTGGACTGAACCGGGCCGGTTCGGGCCTCGGGCCTAGGCCCGGCCGGGCCTCGGTTCAGTAATAGCAGGCCCGAGCCCGAACCGGGGTAGGGCGGTCCCGGGTCCGGTTCCGGGCCGGTCGGGCCACCCGGTTTAATTTTTTTTTTTTTCCTTTCTTCCCCCCCCCCCCCCCCCCCCCCTCCCACCCCCCCAAATCCCCCCAAACCCCCCCAAACCGGCCAAAACAGCTAGCCCAAGCCCAACAGCCCAAAAAAAAATGAAAAAAATTAAAAAAAATAGATTTGGCCCGGACCCGGGCCCGAACCGGCCGGGCCGTCAAAACCATGAACCGAGCCCGGAACCGCCCCACCCCCGGGCCTCCGGCCCGAACCGGACCCGGACCCGGAAAACCGGGCCGGGCCGGGCCCGCACAGTAGCGGGTCGGGCCGGTCCCGGGCCGGGCGGCCTGAACCGAGGCCATGCCTAACACAAACAAACAAACAAACAAACAAACAAACAAACAAACCGACAAATCTGCACACAAATGTTGATCACATTGCCAGCTATGTCGCACGTTGCACGTGCAAAACAAATGTTTGAAGAGTTAGCTAAAAAGTTTTCGTAGTTTCCCGAATGGAAACACTCTAGTTTCCATGCCTCCTAACTGACAGCCTTAACTTGCTGTATACTGAAGCATATCCTCCATGTGCTTCCATGATTGCTCTGTAGGATTCTCACAGGCTTTCTCAAAAGAGATCGAGAGTCATCTTCAGCTTGTTCTGTCTCCATTTTGGAAGGCCATAAAAGATACTTCTTGTCATTCCAAATTTCTCATGGAACTCCTCTTCCGATAAGTATGCCTATACAAACAACGTTTAAAAGTTCTCATACACAATATTTGGAGAGCATTGTTAGACACTGTTTGTTAGTGTGCGAAATGTGTGCAAAGCTTTAACAGCTTGTAAATATAAATAGATTTGATGTATAGTACCTGCCGTCTGGTAATGTCTATGCCTGCCACCGGATTTTTCGACCTTATTGTCAGTTGTTCATATGGATATTTTGGCAAGTTTGCATCAGCCTCACTCTGACTGATTTGTGGACCCGTCACCGGATTTTTCGACCCTATTGTCAGTTGTTCATTTGGATATTTTGGCAAGTTTTTATTGGCCTCACTCTGACTGATTTGCGGAGTGGCCTTACCCGTAGACATGGATAAACCTTGAGCAAAACCAGGAAAAAGTGTTTAAAGATGTAAAGAGAAAATGATGGGAGGATAAACTTTGGGTTTAACTGGCTAATTTATTGAATTCAATCTATAATTGAAATGTGACTCAAGTGCCTTATGGCCCAAGTTGAGCTACCAGATTCCATCCCCAACTCTATAAAAAACAATAAATAAATAAATTGTACACATTTGGATCATTAACTAAAAAAACGTAAAACACATACTTACCATTAGTATGATGACGATCTGAAGATCCTACAAAAATCTTTCTGGTAACAGAAGTCGGTGGTGGGCTAGAAAAACGGTTACTGTGTACAGATTTTACTGAAGAGCTGCCAGAAAAAGCCGAAGGAGCAGGGGATGAACTCCTTCTTCTGTACCCATGAGCAGCCCCAACAGACCTACTTCTTGAAGTGTTTGGGGTAGCTTTCCATGAACTCCTGGATGGGGCCTGCAAAAAGGTCATATTAACTTAAATTTAAGCTTTAGTTTATCAGGTAGGATGGTTAGTAAATCACTCACTTCCAGTATTTGATGTTTTCCTTTCAAAATAGCAAGCTTCCGCTCAAATGAGTTGCCAAGCATCTGGGATCATTTAGGTAAGCACTTAGACTTTTAAGTAAATATATAATCAGAAAACAAAAGGTTAATTGACTGAGCATTTGAGAGAGGGTATGAGCTTACGTTTGCCTTGGAGAAATCCCATTCAAAATATTGAGTGAAGAATGGCGGTTCACAACCTTCTGTTACAATATAGACAGGAATGTAGGGAGAAAGCTTTCCAATGGGAGTCTCCTTACCATGAAACTTCTGTAAAGTTATACGAAGTATATTAGATGTTAACATGCTTGGAGATCATTAATAAAAATTCATTTGTGGCCTACTTAGCAAGGCAGGATATCAGGATATGACCAAATTATTGAGGTTAATAAAATTTCATGATATTTCCTGAAAACTAAATCCCTTCTCAGATTGTGGATACTTTTTATTTTTTGGCCTTCAGAAGACAGATGGTGATGTGGAGGAAGAAAAGATATAATGCCAACACATAAAAGTTTACCTGGAAAAAATCAATAGCTTCCTGCTTTGACTTGATACTTGAATTGCGCCCTATCCAAAAATGGATTTCACTATGACAATTTAGTATCAAGACATCTTCAGTAGTGAGATCATCCTGGGAGAAATTAAATATCTCTTTGACCTGCAATATTGAGGCCAGACAAAAGCCTGTCTGAGATTGCTTATAAACTTATTATTTGCAATTTTGGATAATAAAAATTATTATACTATAAAAACCACAAAGTTTCCCTAGCGGCTCCCATAGGCTGTATTTTAGTAAAATATATCCATCTACATTTATATATTATGCTTTAAAAACAACAAAATTTCCCTAACGGCTCCCATAGGTTGTATTTTAGTAAAATATATCCATCAACATTTATAATTCCACTAAAGGCATATGACTCCTGTGAACAATAATTTACTCCACGATCTGACAAATCCTTTACTCTTTCTACACTTTAAGAGAAAAAAATAGTTCAAGGTAGTCCTCTAAATAAATTTCCATGATGCTATATTACAAGGCTTACAAGTTCAATGATGATTTTAATCAAATATGCAATTAATAATATGACACTCTCTGAATCTTAATCATCTTCGCTAAGGAAAAAAGTGTAGTTTATAAATGCATTTTAATTTTGTCACAAATGTAAATGAGAGGATGGCTTAGTCATTTAGAATATCTTACTGCAATTACCTATTCGGTTACTGGATGCTCAATTATTTAAGACAAATGCATATCCCCTAATCTTGATTGCACTGGTTTAATTTACGAATAGAGGGAGTATAGTTTAATGATAAACTCGGAATTACTGTAAAAATATATTTGAGAAAACAAAGTACCTTCAAATCGTCTGATTGGAAAAGTTCAACCATTTATTAGACATAGAGCAGGTAAGATCTGCAGCAATATGTAAAAGCAGAAAGACATTATCTTTCAACAGGGAATATCCAAAAGCAAAGATATGGCCTCACCTTTAGTAAAGATGCATACAAACAACTGTGGATCCTCCTTAAATGCCTTTATTTCCTTTTCTGAAGAGTAATCTGACATACCTCCCAATGCATTCCAGAAAGCATCGGGTTCACTACCTTCCCTCACCATGACTGGCTGCCATATCGGCTACAATTATAATAAATAAACACAATGCTTATGATGCACATAAAAGAAAATAAAAAGTATTACCTTTTGAGGTTATATCCTAAGAGCTTAAAATGATAGGAGAAGAGGTGAAAGTAGCTCAATGCCTGAATCTCTTGTATACTTGTTTTTCATTTTATACTTATTCAATGTGAGGTGGTGCTTAACAGAGATCATTAAAATTCCATAAGAAACACATACATTTATCATTTCTAACATTCTGTCAAGAAGATCGTGGTCTCTTGAAGATGAAAGATTTCCGACCCAAGTAAATGTAGATGTGTTAGTCTTCAAGATGTAGCAATAGAATGAATTGAGAGAACTTGGAACCTGCAAAAATGGACATTGGCATAGCAATAGAATAAATATTATGGCTTACAAAATGATGAACAGTGTTAGGTAATTTTTTAAAGGAGCCCACGTGGTCAAGTTACCAAATGTAGAAATAAAGACATGTGGTCCACGCGGATCCCATTTGAGAACAATATGTTTTTCGCAATTAAAAGACATGCTTACATGATCAACTTGAATGGCTTGCATGTTACATGGACTTGTTCCTTGGATTCGGAACAACGCCACCTTACTCTCACCAAGAGTATTGTCGCCAATACCTTTATCAGCAAGGGACTTTTTATATCTTGTACTCTTACCTCCCTGCACCATATGAAGTGATTAAAACCAGGGGGGCTTTCATAGTTGAAGCGGTATTATAATTGGAAGAGCGAGAAAAAGATTTTGCATAACCTAGGACTTTCATTTGTGGATGTTTCCAAGTGCTTACCTTGAAAACAACCAAGCTCTTGAAAATTAACAAAAAGAGATTTGGTTCATTGCCCTCATATATTTGACCCTGAAATAGATAAAAAAAATCAAAACACGCATAATATACAGAGGAGGAAATATTTAAAGAATTTCTAGATAAAATGTTTCTCCATGTAAGCTTGCAGACTTAGTCCCTCTCTATACAATCTTGTTGAAGATTTTATTAAAAAAGTTGTTTATAATATGCATTAGGTTAGCCAACTAAAGCTGCAGATAACAAGCAAAAAATAAAAAACCGCTTTTTGTATTTGAAGAGGGGGAGAAGACATACCATAACTGTATTACCCTTTGTGGATTCAGTGAGTTCAATCATATAGGAGATTGCATCAGCCCGGTCGTCCTGCAATGCAAATATTAGCGTTAGACCAAAACAGTTCCAAAAGAGCTTTCACAAGGTGAGGAATGTCCAACACTTATTAACGGGTTCATTCGTATCTGGTTGATGTGAGATGCTCTTCAACACATTTTAATCAGAATGGTTTAGGCAATAGACATGTTTCTCCCAAATATTTAACAGAAGTAATTAGGCATAGAGTAAAGCATATATTTTTATTAGAAATTGTTTCTCCTTACCACAACACTTTGAAGACCGATCCAAGTATAGAACAAGTTCTCCTCCCTTTCATTATTATTCATAAAAGTATACTGGATGACATAGCAATCCCCACTGTATAGTTTTGAATGCTCCGTGGAAGGAATAAAAGTTCTATCATCATCACAACTTATCCGCCAAACCTGCAAATCCGAAAACGAGTAAGAACTTGGGCTGAAAGCCTGAAACAAGTGTTAACATTTGAAGACACATGGGGATTTCTTATCACCTTTACTTTGCCACTCAAATCCATGACTTGATCTTCATCTTCTTCTTCGGGAAGCTCCTTCACACTATAACCCTGGTGCTTAAATATTGCTGCAAAAAGCATTTTAAAAAGAAATTAATTATTGCATCCATTTACACATTATTAGTCTGCAATTATATTGTGTCCTTTTCCCCTACCACCGAGAACATACCAGCTACTTTTCCTCGGCCTTCTTCATATAACTTTGGTTCTACAGATTGAGGCCAATCTCTAAAGTATGACATGAACACGGCAGTTTCTGTTCCCTCGGTTAAGAATGTTAAATGGGTCCCAGCTGATCTGCCCTGAGACCGGAGGATATCCTGGAAAAAAACAGTCACCCGAGTAACAACCCAGACAACATATATATACACTTAGGTTCCATTTGATTGCATGGACTTGCCATGAGAAATGTTTTCTGTTGAAAATCCTGGAGAATAAATAGCTTAATGTACTACGTATAATATAATGTTTGACTGGCCAAAGTTGAACACACAAAACTATTCCAAGAATATGTTTTCGCAAGCCAAGCACTGGAAAATCCGGAAATATTTCAGAGGGCGGGGGGGGAGGGGGGGAATTCCTGGAAACAACTGAAGAGGTTAGTAAAACAAGGTCCTCACGCTGTGTAGGGATGCATTGGTAATGTTTATTATTCAAGAAATTAATTGTAGTATCCCAATTCCCAAGCCATATACTGTTTTTAACTTCAATGTCATATGTTGATTCATGTTAGCCGACCCCAAACTCTTTTGGGATTAAGGCCCGGATGTTGTTGTTGTTATCCCAAGGTATAACTTTTAATCACCAATCTTCCACATTATATGAATGCATGTGCATCTGTGAGAACCTTGGTAATTTGATTAGGAAATCTTACAGAAATGGTAAAGAATTGATCAAGAAGATGATCAAGAAGCTTTATTGAAGTGAATAGTTGTTTACAGAAGGAATACAGTGCTTAGGGACCATTCGAGATGCCCAATCTCCTAGCCAAACTCAACAGAATACTTGCCTCCTCTCCTCTTTCCCCCTTCCTTACTCTTAAAGTACTTCTATTTCTTTAAGGGCTGGCCCGTTATTCCTGATTTACTAAATGGCCCTGAACCTTCACTTATACACTATATTACACTCTTTAATACTATTTTATTATTCTTATTAGTATTATTGTCTGTTCCTATCAGCATCACTTATTGCACTTTCACTATTACACACTTATAATATAATACTCCCTCCGTCCCACTATGATTGTCCCATTTTACCTTTTTGGTCCGTCCCACAAAGATTGTCCCATACCTTATTTGGTAAAATTTGTGTGGTTCTAAATCTTTCCTACTTTATTCTTACTTTATCAATTCATTATCAACCACATAAACCCACTTTTATTAATAACCGTGTCACCTTCTCTTGTCCCAAACTTAGGGGGACGGAGGTAGTATAAAATATATGTGTGAGTACGTATATATGTGTGCAGGTGCTATAATAAATCTTACTTCTGCCGAAGAAATAGAACTCTTCCGCTCCGTAACTGTCGTGAATCTTCCCACCCAAAGGAAAAGTTCACAATCACAGTCAAGCATGTAGCACCTATTAGAATCAAGCATCTCTTTGTTTAGAGTATCACCACTTCCAACCTCAGAAAGCTTTCCTTGTGTGTTTATCCTGCCAATAAGAGAGTTGAATAACTCACCTTCGAAATTGGTTGATAGTATCCTTCTATTGGAACCTATTAAAATCGGAGCATTTTTACATGTTTAGCAGTATTGATCATTATTAGGGTCTGCAGTATTCATCATTATAAGGTTCTTTTGAGTTTCCCACATATCTCGGGAAGGCCAAATTTAACAAGGTATCAGACCCTGCTCTTATAGTCATTTGTAAGACATCTATCCGCGCGATGGTTTGGGGCAGGCAGTTTAGACTTTAGAGATGGTTGCCTATAGGGTTTGACTAGTATAAATGTGGAGATAACCCTCAAAGTGTTGTTAATCCTTTTGGGGTTAGGCCCAAATGTGATATAGAATACTTAGTTACCAATAGAGTTTCAGCACTGCATTATCAGCTGCTGCTGCTTCAATGTTAGAGGGCAAGCCCTTAGGAATGGGGGCATAACCACCAAATAAGCTCCAGAACTCACCAACATCAGGATCACTAACAAATTTTCCATCATCTACACAAATAAGCAACTTTTAAAGGGTTATCAAAATGAAAATTACACAATTGAAATGGAAATTACACAAGTGGTGATCAAACACTATTCAGACCTATAGTTGCAATGCCACATCTTCCGTTATGCTTATTATCTCTAATATATTGAACAACCTCCAAAGCTTTTGCTCTTTCCTGAATGCTTGAGTTACATCCACTGAAAATGTAAATCTTTGATGCCGTATCAAGTATAAATACATCATCATGGTTCAAGGATGATCGTGAAAATGCAACCTAATCACAAAAAAAAATACATTAATTCTTATTTTTGAGCAAAAAAAAAACACTCTTAATTTCAATTCTAAGTCTACGAAATTAATGGTACTGCTTTATTGAAAAGTAAAAATAAACATTAGGCTATGAAACCAAAATTATTGAGATTCAGAGATTGGTTTGTAAAACAGCTCTTACTTCTCTGACATGAACAACACGGTCTCCTTTGCATGTTAACATGCTGATTGTGTATTCCTCACTGCTTTCATTAGCCGGACCAGATGAAAATACACCTTCAATTGGGATAACACAAGGCTTAAAGTATGACAAGAACTTCTCAGTTTCTTCCCCTTGAACTTCTCTATATTGTACAGCATATGACCCGAGTGATGCATCCAGTTCAAGAGCTTTGTCTGAAACCAAGTTTGCATCTTCCTGCCAGTTCATTGAATCATCTACAAAATTGATCTTCAATGGAAGTATATATTACTCTTTAGTTAACTATTTATGGTCCAAACCTGTTTCGCATTACTTCCAAGCCAATAGTGTATATCATGCTGAAATGTTCTACTCTTGAGCAACAATGTCTGCCTCATGAAAAAACAAGTATCAGATACTCCTAAGAATGTGTCATTTGTGTTTTCAAATATTTCATTGCTATCTGTCTCTAACTAAGAGTCCATCTGGATTCTGGAAAGTTTTAGAAAAAGAAATTAGAGAGGATTAGAGGAACAAAGTTAAAAAATCATTTTAAATTTATTTTAAATATTATGGAGTATTTCAAACTCATTTTATTCATCTATTGCTACTATAAATACTACTCCCTCTGTCGCACTCATCATTGTCAATTACAATTTACGAACATTGACCAATGATAATGTTAATTACTCCCAGACAATATTTACATTACTATTAATATTTAATATTTAATATTTAATATTTCAGAAATTTCCCTCAATAGGAGTAAAACAGTACGGAATTCCAAAATAGGACTAAAGGAGCACTATGTTTTATTTCTTATGCGAGTAATTAATGTCATGCTTAGAAAGTACTACCAATTAGGAAAGAAATAATGCCATATTAAAGCCCGTTAAATTACAGAATGGCAGTAAGGTATAAGTTACTCGTATTTGGGGATAGTGCTCCTGTTTTAAAATTTAGATAATTTGAATTTGATAAAAAAAACTGATACCCAAAATTAGAAAACAAAATCATAATCTATTGACTACACGAATACTAAACTAGAAAATTTGAGTGGGAGGGGGGTATTTCATTAATAACTCTAAGTACATGAATAAATAAAAACCATAAAACTATACCAATTTTCCATAATATTTTTTTTCTATATCCAAATACACCCAGAGACTAACTTTGGGTCCTGTAAAATGCTATGGAAATTTAATTTTCCAGGAAAATGCCAGTGAAAGGAAAGCTAATGCTTTGGAAGGTTTGTTTCTTAAGTTCAAATTTTTCTCGTAAATTTGAAAAGAATAAAGTATGGTTATGTTTTAAATTGTAAACATTAGTCTAGATCGTTTAATAGTGATACAATATGATTAAAAAATATTCATACAAATATCAAGTATAAAATTATTGAGTATGATTAATTTATTATTGTCCTCAACATTGTTTTCCACTCAAATTTCTCCTACAATATTTTCCACATTTTCTTTCCATAGCATTTTCTGCATCCCTAACGGATCCTAAGAGTTTCATCAAATCTTCAGCTGAAGCTAGGGTGTTCAAAACTTACATGTAAAAGTAGATAAGCACTTCCGGAGTAGAACTTCCCGTGCAAGGATATAGGGATCCGGACTAATTGGAGATTCTCTACTCCCCAAATATCCAAACCACTAGATTTGTTAAATAGTTAAGGATAAATTATTGAACATTAATGCAATTAAGCTAAACAGATTAAATAAACAGCATTCAAAGTTTCAAAATTCAAAATGAACAGATTAAATTAACAGCATCTAAACTGAACAGGTCAAATAAACATCACTCAAGCTAAAAAGAACAAATGAACAGCATTCAAGCTAAACAGATTTCTACTATTATAGAAAATAAAATAGTAAATGAAGTTATGAGGATACGGTCTGACTCCTGCTCCCTGAAACGCTGGATCCATTTCAAGCAGCTGATTCTTAGTAACCCATTACTCAAGTTGCTTTCTATGATCCTGCAGATTAAGAATTCAGCATTTTAAGAGCATGGCGAAGGAAATGGTTACAACCCACATTACACCAACAACCCCCTTTATTTTGGCACTTTGAGGTCAAACATTTGATTGTACAATGCCACAAGCTTTAGCCGGAGATATCGATTCAGAAATACAGATAAAGGCTACTACAGTTCAGCTATATAACATCACAAAGTTTCAAACTTTAGCTGCCATCCAGATTCTTTTATGCAGATTCTACACCAGCAAAACTGAGTAATGATGCTATTAAAGAAGCAAACGGGGGAAAACAAGGATTTCTGCTGAGTAATTCTTACCATACTTTGATAGAGACTAAAATTGACGATATTGGGGAAAGAAAGAATGAGATGACTGTGTGAAGAATTGGAGAAAGAAAGGAACAACGTGGAGAGCACGATTACCAGCTGGCTTTTGACAAATGAAAGCAATAAGCTTTTGACAAATGAAAGCAAGAAGCCGTTTTCAATTCAAAAAAGGAAAGGGTCAAAAGACCAAAATAATGTTATAAATGTCACCTCCTTATTCCTCGTATTGTGTCATACTGTCATCCCATAAGCATTTGGGTCTTCCGTCTAGCTGCTAAATTGTGTAGGAGAAATCCGGAAAGACTTCGTATATAAATGGGATAAGGGTCAGTTTGGTCCTCGAAGTTACAAAAAAGGGGTCAAATAAGTCCTTATATAGAAGATTCTGTCCGGACGTGCCATTTGAGGTGGCTCCCGGTGGAATTTTTTGATGAAATTTTTTGAGCATCTTATTCATTAAGTCTAGTTTACTCATACCAAATTTCAGATAAAAATTCAATGAGGAAGACATTCAAATGAATTCTTGAAGATAACTGTGCCGTTAAAAGCGCTGTTATCTTCAAGAATTCATTTGAATGTCTTCCCGATTGAATTTTTAGCTTAAATTTGGTATGAGTAAACTAGACTTAATGAATAATATGCTCAAAAAAATTTATCACAAAATTCCACCGGGAGCCACCTCAAATGGCACGTCCGGACAGAATCTTCTATATAAGGACTTATTTGACGCTTTTTTTGCAACTTCGAGGACCAAACTGACCCTTTACTCGTATATAAATTATGAAGCCCAGCTTGTTCGTTAGTTCCATAGAAGCAATTATCTAAATGATTAGGGAGTGTTTGTGGTTGCTTCGACTTTAAAAAGTGAATTTTTAAAGTAAATTTGGATAAAATGATTAATAGTAAAAGTTAGTAATGTTTTAAAAAAAAGTGCTTCAGAAAAAGTAAAAGCACTTATTAATAGTGAACTTTTGGCTTTAAAAAAGCACTTATTTTCCCAAACACTACAACTTTTATTTTTCTCGGCTTCCGCGTCAAAAGTGCTTTGACTTTTTCTATTACACAAAAAGCACTTATTTTACCAAATACTACCCACTTTTACTTTTCAAAATCACTTTTTTCTCAAACACTTTCAACTTTTATTTAATCACTTCTCTTCATTTCATTAAAAAAATCATTTTTTCAAAAGCAGAAGCTGTTGCAAACAGACCCTGAATGATGGTGTGCTCGTTAACATCTTGCATTTAGGATTTATTATAATAAAGTATAAGATTAATCTCGATAAAATATAGTAATATTGCCCACCCCTAATCCAAGGAATTAGACAAGTGCATGAAATCCGGATACAGTGCATGAATCAGCAAGTGATCTCAACCGGATTAGTTATATTTGTTGTAAACTTGATTATAATTTTGTTATAGTAATATGATTAGTTGAGGGGTGAGCATGGTATAGTAAATGCATGAAAGAGTTGTGTTGGTTGTTCTAGCCATACTAACTATATATCAATTTTATTTTGGGAGAAGACTCAAAAAAGACACTAAGGGGGGTGTATTGTATTGGGATTTGATGGCAAAATATTAGAAGTCCATGGACTTTAGAAATCCGGGTGTATTGAATATGGACATTTAAAAGTCCATTAAAATCCAGGTGTATTCAAAATATTAACGAATCTGGTGGATTTACAAAATAATGGATTTCGATGGATTTGAGACCTACTCGTATAAATACTCATTTCGATCAATTCTCTCGTGCTCCCCCCCAAGATTTCACGTTACTTTCTCCCATAAGGGTTTTCTCGCTTCTCTTCTTCTCGGCCACCTCGCCAAGAACATCTCTCTCCCAGGTAAGTTTCCACCCTACTTCTTTTTCGAATTTTTTCTCCATACTTTTTTGATGATTTTCCTCTCCAACTAATATTTCCATTAAAAATCATATTTTCTATTTGTCATGGGTATGTATAATCACGAACAATTATCTCAAGTATGTTGTGATTATGTAATTTCTACTTCTGCCTGGCTGCCTAGTTTTTTGTAATCAATCATCGTTCCTCTTTGGTTATAATCAATCATTGTTTCCTATATATATACACTTGAATACATAAAAGTGGCAATGGGGGAGAATCGAATGACGGAATAAAATAAATGGTTAGTCCATAGTTGAATAGAAGGGGAATGGAAGGGCTTATTTTTTTAAAAGTGGCTCTAGATGATCTGATACCCTTTTTGAAACCAAATATTAGGCTCATAAAGTTGAACCACATATGTTAGTGTTCGAATTTCTGGTTCGTGATATTAATCATTTTTGTTATTTGTTTAATCATTTTTGTTTGTGATATAATACACTTGTATGCATTGTTTTGAAACTCGCTAGGCGCTAGTCGGGCGGTTGAGGGGCGCCTAGCGCCTAGGCGGCCGACTAGGCCGATTTTTTGGCCGACTAGGCCGATTTTTTGACCGACTGGGCCGACTAGGCCTCTACAGTTAGGACCGACTAGACCGTCTAGGCCAATTAATCGGTCCGCCTAGGCCGATTGTTAGAACAGTGCTTGTATGTATAAATACATATATACATGATCCATGGCAGTAACTAGAGACCTTCCATGAGATCATTATTTTGTTGTTTTTGGAGACATATTGACAAGGTGACGTCTAAAAATAAACAGAGTTTTTTTAATGGGTACCGCTTTTAATTCACATCTCCTTTGTACCAAGTGTATTACTTTCACTTCAAATAGATACTCTGTTTGTAAAGGAGACAATGTTGATTTACAGTGGGGGAGTGGGACATAGTTGGTTTGCTTGTTTATGTTTTTATTTTCATAAAAAAATGGAGTGTTTTTTTGCTGCTTCTCCACTATGTTTTCAGCTTTTACTTCTAGGCATTCCAAAGTGTAGGATTCTGCTTCTGTTTTTCAATTTTATCTCAGGCAATTCAATGATTCAGTTATATTAGTGTTTGCTTGATAAAGTATGGCCCGTTAGTCAATTCGGTAATAAATAATTTTCTACCTATAAAAATGCATAAAATGAGGTTATGCTATACCACAGTATTTTTTGTTCTAAGAACTTAATATAATTTATGTTTAAAAAAATCAAGTGGTATGAGTTTACACTTTGCATTTATTGTTTGCTTGATTGATTGATTTTACATATTTCATAGATGGGCGATTCGCAAGGTAAAGCAAAAAAAAAAGGATTATAAAACCTGGACCATAGAAGAGAGTAATGTATTGCTACAACTAATGGTTGAAATTGCCAAACTTGGCTTACGCGATACAAATGGTGTGATAAGTAAACAAACGGTAGAGAACAGACTCCTTCCTAAACTTAAGGAAAAACTTGGTCATGAAATAAGTTTTATTCATTACCAAAGTAGAGTGAAATGGTTTAAAAAACAATATTCCAATTACTCTCAACTTATTCGTCACAACTCTGGATTTGGATGGGATGCGACCACAAAGAAATTCACAGCTCCCGAAGAAGTATGGGCTGATTACCTAAAGGTGGGCATATTTTTTATTCATTTGTGTGTCTATTTCATATAATAAATATAACATCGTAATCACGAATCTTATATTTTTTATATATCAGTCACATCCGGACCACGCGAACCTTCGGTCAGAAACTTTTCCGGACTACGAGGATTTGAGAATCGCGGTGGGAAATGGAACTGCAACTGGGATGGGTGCAATTGGTCTTGGTGAAAATACAGATGCTACAGTGTTAGGAGTAGATGATGAATCTGGTGGAATTGGTGGCATTGATGGATTATTTTTTTATCCAAATACTAACATGTTCACAATGAGTGAAAATGTGTCATCCCACCAGGAGGATTTGTCACATCTTCCACAAGATGAAAGTAGGAATATAGAGGATCCACCTTCATCAAGCAATAGAGCTAAAGGAAAAAGGGGTCGAAATGATTTTGAAAACAATAGAAGAACAAAGGAACCTAATAGTCACACAGAGGTTACTGAGAGCTTGTCAGTGGGGTTTAATAAAATTGTTAAGAGTTTTGATAAAATTTGTTATTTAATGGAGAAGAGAGAATCAAGAGAGGGTGATCTTTTGGATGCTATGAAGGAGACCCCTGGATTAACCAACGAGGATTGCTTTAGAGCTCTTGATTTGCTTAATACCAAAGCAAAGCAAGATTTCTTTTTGAAGATGACTCCTGAACAACGATATCATTGGATCACTAGCTTATAAACATATGTAATAGGTTTATTTGCATTAGTGATAGAGTTTTTGGTTTACATACTTTATGGAGTTTCGTGTAATTTCTGGATTTTTGCAATTTGTGGATGCTTTGATTATTTATGCAGGATTAAAACGTTATATGAATTATTTGAACTTGGTTTATATCATTACAGTTCATATGTTTTAATATATATCATTGATCATATAATACAGTTAATGTTTTAATAGTACATGTCTTTATGTTTTTTATTATATGAATTATTTGAACTTGGTTTATATCATTACAGTTCATATGTTTTAATATATATCATTGATCATATAATACAGTTATACGGAGTATGTTTTAACAGTACATGTCTTTATGTTTTTTATTAGCAATGTCTGACACAAGCATACATGGAGTTGATGAAGATGAGGTAGAGTTTTATGGGACTCTTAGGGTATTGCTACTGGCAATAGAAGCAGTGATTTACGCGATATATAATCTCGCTTCAAGGATCAATGATGAATCTATTAGACGACCATTGACACGACGACCAGTGACGTCTAACGGGTTAAAATATATGGATGAAATAATGACTGAAGACCCAAAAAAATTTCGAGATGTATACAGAATGTATCCTGATATTTTCCGAAAATTATACAAAACGCCTTTGACGGATACACGATTCATTTGTGTGGAAGAAATGGTTGCAACATTTTTGCTTGTTGTTGGTCAAAACAACCGCTATAGTCAACCGAAAATGATATTTAAGCGGTCACACTTCACTGTCAGCAGAAGTTTCAATAAAGTATTGAAAGCACTGAATACAATAGCTCCAGAGTTTATGGCTAAACCTGAGTCAGTACCACATGTCATTAGAGAAAGTACAAGGTTTTATCCTTACTTTAAGGTAATAGTACAACATTTCATGCTATTTATGAATTTCAAAAAACACAATGAAATATTTTTTTAAATTATATTTATTTATCCTTTTCATATTATAGGATTGTATCGGGGCTATAGACGGCACTCATATTCCAGCAACAGTAGTTGGACGAGAGGTAAGCAGCTACCGAAATCGTCATGGGACTATATCACAAAATGTGCTAGCTGCTTGCAATTTTGATTTACAATTCATATATGTGCTTAGCGGTTGGGAGGGTTCAGCTCATGATTCTAAAGTGTTAAATGATGCAATTTCGAGGTAAAATGGTCTCAAAGTGCCACCAGGTACCCTTTTATTAGTTTTATATACTTTTACAGTCTCTTAATATTAGTTATATTTACATATCATATACCACACTAATCGTATAATTATTTCATGCATAGGTAAATATTATTTAGGGGATTGTGGGTTTCCAAACCGACGTCAGTTTTTAGCTCCATTTCGAGGGACCCGATATCACCTTAAAGATTTTGGCGGCGAAGGAAATCACCCCGTTAATGCAGTTGAGTTATTCAATCTTCGTCATGCTTCTCTAAGGAACGTGATTGAACGAATATTTGGAATATTTAAATCACGCTTCACAATATTCAAATCAGCACCACCGTTTACGTATAAGACACAAGCGGAATTAGTTTTGGCTTGTGCAGGATTACATAATTTTCTACGGCGTGAGTGCCGGTCTGATGAATTCCCCCCAGATCCAGAAGAAGATAGTGATACAGAGGAGAATTTTGAATGGGATGATTTTCAAACACAAGATCAGCAAAGAGCAAAAGCTAATGAATGGAGGATGGACATTGCTAATCAAATGTGGACAAATGAGTGAGATGACAACCATGAAGATGAATAATGTCCAATCTATTGTTTTAGTAGAAGAAATGTTGTTTCATTTTTTTTTGTGTAAACGGATTGGTCATTGTTGGTAATTTTTATTATTATTTGTACAATACTACTACTTGATTTCATTTCAGCTTGATCCTTTTTAGGTAGGGATGGTTTAAGAGTTAAGACCATGTGCATATATATATAAATATCTTTTCGATCTGATCCTTTTCAATAGCAAGAGTCTAAAAACAGCTATCATCACTATTGCTTTTTAGCTTTAAAACTGCCCATACCATACAAATTCCCCAACCTTAGCTATTCCAAAAAGGAAAAGGCAAAGGTAAGACCACCTAGAGCATTAACGCACTCTCAGGAGTCGCTATGTTTATCCATAAAGTATGAAGAGAGTCCTCTTTGCGGCAATCCCATCTTAAAAACTTCAAAATTGCCGGACTCAAGTCTACCAATTTTATTAATACACAAGTCAATAGATTTATGAAAGTCCGTATAAATCTATAAAAGTCCATATAAAAGTCTACCACAAAGTCGTTCATATTAAAAGTCGGTGGACTTTATTAAAAGTCCATGGATTAAAAAAAGTCTATCACAATCCAGATACAATACACCCCCCTAAGATTACTTACAAAGTTCGGATTGAACATTTAGATTTTAAGTGGACCAAATTAATACATAACTCACTTATTTTGATAACATTTGGCAACCCATTCGCATTTCAATTTAACGGTGCTCTCACGTTAACACCTCCTTTTAATCTAAGGTGCCTACTCACGCCTCAATATTTCCATCTAAACCCTATCTTTTTCCTCTGGTTTCGATCGTTCAATGCTTTTTTGAAACTTCTCCACCGGCCAAGCTTCTTTTCAAGTCCATTCATCCTAGACGCGTGAGCATAGATTATTAATACACCCAAGAAAGCAAAAACATAGAAGATGAACAAGTGGAGAAATTACATTAAAGAACTCCAACCAATTTCTTGATTTTTTGGTTGTGCTTATTCTTATGGCCGCGATTTTACTCAATCTTTACTTCATCGGTGGTCGGAATACTGTTTATGAGTCTATTGAAATTCAGGGTAAGCAAACTTTGAGTCCACCAAGGAAGACTCGTCCGTTCAAGATGACGGAAATCTCTCTTCCGGGATGTCACATACAAAGGGACTCTGTTGCGTGGGAGCAGCCTGGCGGCGAGGAGGTTCTTCGCTTTCAGCGGCTTTGACCGGCAGCAGTTGCATGGAGTCCACCGGCATCAGAGAAGTTTTTCATAGAAGTTATGCCACTCGTGCGGTTACAAAAATTAACCAGACCATCAAAACTTACCGCACCAAATCCACCGACGACGAAACAGTGTTTTCAACTTGTACGTGGAATATCAATGAGCCTAGCTTGAGATTCACCTCCTAGTTCCTACTCTGACACCGGCGATGGCCAGAAGCAGACATTTGTTTCATTATTTCATATTCCAAGAATGGCAAAGCTGTGTAACAAAATGATCGATATCTTCTGGATTTTATTTGTTTGGTTTGTAGCTTTGAATTGGAAAGGATAAGAGTTGTTAACGTTGAGACGTGCGGTCTGTTAAAACAATGTTAGTGGGTGGCTAAATCTAGCTTGAATAAGTGATTTATGTGCTAATTTGATCCAATTAAAAGTTTGATGTCCAATCCTAACTTTGTAAGTAACCATAGTGTCTTTTTTTAGCCTTCTCCCTTTTATCTTACTGTGTAATGGATCACGCTAAAACAACACATTCTACATCATTGATATTGCAAGCGCCACGACAAAACTTTGACATTCGTCCTTTATTTTGTAAACATTCCAAAAGACCTTAGTACAAAGGCACTTATTATTAAAGACTTGGATTATATTATGAACAACAGGTTTTCAAAAGTTGGCTATCAATATGAGAACTTGAATGAGAAAATGAGAAATCTAGAATAGATGGTAGCAAATTTGGCAAGATTAATGCAGAGCAAGTTTCAAGTTCTAATAATCATTCACTGATTCCTAATAATTCAAATGCATAGCAAGCTTCAAGTTCTAGTAATCAATCACTGATTCTTAATACATCCGAATCATTTGCAACTAGATGCACTAAGATTGAACTTTCAATATTTCATGGTGATAAATTTTTGAAGTAATGAATATACAAATGTGAGCAAATGGATTTAGAAAGAGAAGCCTTAAGGTGACACTATGCATTAGAGGCTATAAGAAATTAGTTCTTGAAACATTTGGAAAATATTTTGATGATCAAATGTAATAATTAGTATCATTAAATAAGAAGGGTCTACTTAGAAACCAAACAATGATTATTTAGAATAGTTTTCGATGATCCTAACAAAACATTAGTTGTTTGGTGAACACGTGCTAAATGGGCTGAAACATGATATTTAGATGCATGTTAAGATGTTTAATCCGACTACTATGTAACGTGAAACATTGAGTAATAATTATATGGTGAAACTTGTATGAGTTATGGATTTTAAACAACTACGGAGTAATATGTTTGTATAGTTCTAGACTTGATTCACATTCTATCTATTTAATACAAACTATGTTACTTCAATTTTCATAATAATTACAGTACTTTGTCATGTTCTAATTTTATTAACACGGAGGTAGTAGTATTTTTACTAAGAGTGACATTGTCATACTTTAAAAAACAATGTTGATGTTATTTAAGAAAAATATTTTATGTCTATAATACTTATATTATAACTATTTGCTCATACATAAGCCATGTCTTTTTTGTTAATACATAAAAGTAATTTTCAAAAACAATTCATTCAAACACTTTAGGAGTCGTTGGGTTCAGGGAATGTCAGATTACCACCAGAATGTCATATTGGTATGTTAGATTGATGGGAATGTATCCAATTTATTCTCATTTATGTTTGGTTAAGATTCGGGGAATGTGATATTAATTTACTTGGTTGAAAGATATCTTATATTGCAGTTATGGTGAATTACTTCAATGTCCTTTAAATATTTTATTTTAACACAATAAATCTATTACAACCTACATTTAAAGTAATTAAAATCAAAGAAAAAATGAGATATCTTAATAATAAATAAAATCAAACCTAGTTGAATTATTTTTAAGTAAAATATGTTTAATTGTAAAAAGTTGTAGATCCAATTCAAAAGTGAAAAAAACTTTGTTCAAATAGTAATCTAAATGTATTTATTATTATTTCAAAAAAAAAAAATTTAAAAAATGTTCAAGTTATTCATAAAACTTCTTATCAAATTAAAGAAAAAATGATCAATTTTCCCATTAATTTTTTAAATTCACTCATCAAAAACTTAAATAATCTACAAGCCTTATAAAATAAATATCTTATAAAATTTAAATGTTAAGGAAAAAAGAATTATGGAAATAACAAGAATAGACATTCGAATATAAATAAATAAACATACTCCATCTGTCTTACTTAAAAGGTTGACACACAATCTACGATCGACTGACCATAAAATTTACTGATCTCTTTCAATAATAAGATTATTTTTTAGTAAATAAAATTTAAATATTTAGAAACTACATTAAAAGTTTTATAAAATCTCATTATGTAAAGAAATTAAATGAAAAGAGATAATTAATTGGGGGTATTTTCGAAGGAAAATTAGACCATCATCGTAAGATAACTAAGGCATGAGTGGTTCTAAGATTCCCCTCCATATTACATTCCCGGAAATGTAACTTTTCCGATTTTTTCTCAAACGCGTGAATCAAACATTAATATATGACATTTCGTGCATCACATTCCGGCCTTCACGTGAGATTACCCCAAACCAAACATACCTATCCTTAAAGTATAGTTTAAACTGATTCTCTATTCCACACAATACAAAAATTAGGTTTTAGTTTTAATAGTCTTTTCGTTTTTTCTTTCAAACTGTATATTCCAGAAAACCAAAACTGCGTCGTTTTGGTCTTTCTAAAAATCTCTATACCGCATAGCAGTCTGGCTCTGGCACTCTGTAGTCTACCACGACAAGGCTAGACTGCAACCATCCATTCTTTAGAGCTCGACGCATCACGATTCACGCACGACGGTCGGCTACGTCTCCAGTGCTCCAACGCCTCAACGACTTCCGAGTCCCGACCCGCCTCCACGCCGCGTGGCCGCCAGGCTACCACCGCACCACCACTCCATCAGGCGCCCAGTTCGGCCGGCCAGACCGAGAGTCCGAGACGCCCAGGTTTTGAATTTTACACTTTACATAATTCAGCATTTTGGATTAATTATTAAGATTTCTTTGATTTTTAAGACTAAATTATTAAGTTTATGATATTTGTGAATATATTTTCAGTTTAGGATGAAAAGATATATGGATAGTGTACCGAGATTTAAAGAAATTCGGAGTACCAAGAGTAGTTGGGATGTTAGTTTAAATGATTCACCACTATTAAATGAAGAATTGGATCAAATAATTGCTGAATGTGAAATTAATTTGAGTGATAATATACATGACCAATATGTTGGTTTTTAATCTTTGGAAGCTGATAACACTACAATAAATCACACATTTTATGACAAATATTTGTTTGACAAAACAAAAATTGTCACATTTAATTGAGTTATAGTTACAAAATGTGAATCCGTCACTTTAAAACGACTTCTTATGACAATATTTTTGATGGTCACTTTATCTCTTAGATTTTGTCACTAATGGATAAAATACATGACAATAAAATTGAAGTTGTCACATAATTTTTTGAGCGCCAAAATTTGACGTAAAATTTTGGAGGGAATTTTTTTGTGACGTTTTAACAATAATTAATGACGATAATTTTTGTCATATTTATTTTGAATTATAATGACATATCATATTTTGTCACTTATTGTTTTACTAAATAATGACAACATTATTTCGTCATTGATATTTCTCTTTGGTGACGATAAATCTAAATTTGTCATAATATCACTATTTAATAACATTATTTCATTCTTCCTTTTTGTAATGAGTAATGACGTTGCTAATCATATATTAATGTTTACATGTAACAATGAATACTGAATACTATTAATCGATCACACATTTACATTTATTAAGATCCTGTTTTGGTAGCACGAAAATGGGTTGATTTGGCTGATTGTGCTGAAACTTTTGAAGTTTTGACTGAAGTGGCTGCATTGGTGGAGATTTAAGAAAAAAATATTTTTAAAT